ATTGCCCCCCCCCCCAGTACTCTAGTTCCGAGGCGGTCATTTAAGCAGACTACTGCTCCTTGATATTTTACGACGTGCCTTGCATATATCCATACAGTCACCGAGTCAGCTACGGAGTCCGTGCCTCCTTGAATAACAGTTATATTTCTTGTTTCTTGATGCACAGTTGAGATCAGCAGGTTAAAGGAAAAAGTTATTTTTCACCCACGCTTCACATAAGCTTTATCATCAGAGTAACGAAATGTACGTGTAATGAGACTAACTAAAGTACTAGCGTCTTGTCAAACGACGGCTTCCTGACTGTTGAAAATTGAGATCACCAACAAATAAGCGGGCCTGGAAAATGTCCCATGCACATGTACCCAGGTGTGGCAGAAAATATATTAATTTGAAGTAATGTATCATAAGCGTATCGTATTACAGGTTCCCCTTAGAGTTTCAAGCCGACTAACTCTCCTGAACGATGATGACCCTCATTTCTGTATGTATATGTGGGAAATGTATGTAAATGTGTGAGACTCTGTTGCTGTAAATTACTCTCAACTCTGTTGTCGTCTCAGAAAAGTTAGCCACCCGAGCAATCTGCGTGGAACACCTATGCTATGTTACCTGTTCAACACATAGTCAACTACTCTATTTTATTCTGTTGTTTATTTCAGTGAAACAATTATTTCAGGATTTATCATGGCTTTTTTTAATGGCAGTGTCTGTGTTTTTACAGATGGAAACATTTTCTAGGATTTGGAAGACCCGTAGCATTTCACTTGACGGGAAATCCTAGACAAACTGATGTATGTTTCCGGTTTCTTAATGCGTCGAGGTTGCATTCCTTAGCGCGTCTGAGTAACCTATCGAATGACATCAAGCAGTCACGCGTCACCGATTCACCAAAAGGCCCCTGGTACAAGAAACGAAGCGGCAGATATGTGCTCGTGGCAGCAGGGATCACCGTTTTTGGCGGCATTCTTGGCTACGTATGTTGCTTTCATATCGTTCTGTTATAGTAGGATAAACGTTTGTTTTTTGGTAGAAGAACCTGATCCTCTGTAATAAACGACAGCATTGTACAATTTCTAAATTGTATGCTGATAGTTTGTACTTTTCCTCCTGTCAGGTTCATTCGTTCATTTGCCGATACATCCATTCTTCTGTTTCCATTCTTAAAGAATACTAGTATTACTGCATTTTTTCCCGTAAAATAAATTAATGTATATGAGTTGGCAAATTCAGTACTACTGGGAAGTTCTAGTCAAGTTTGTAAATGGATGAGTGAATTTAAATATTGGTGTAAAATGAAATAATCACATGCGTCCGTGAATAGGAGGTCTTCATAAAGTGAATGGAAGGAAGAAATGTTTTACTGTATATTGGAAGTAAGGCTATGTCTTTCAGTACATAAAACAGCAACACGAAAACGAAACGCATAAATACACGATAAGCGACGGACAAAGAAGCTGTTGACACCATCTGTCAGCAGGCTTCGATGGGTCTTTCCTGATGGCAGTCAAGACAGGAACGACTGAATTACATCTGATTCCATGCGACAGTCGACGCTCATTATTTTATATCTAGGATATATTATAATAGCACGAAATCAGTCCCATTCCACGCAGTGTTTGTATCAGTATGCCTCGAATGATTTTTTTCATAAGAGTACGACTTGCACTTTTTTGCTCATCTGCTGAGCCGATATGTTTCTTTAACCCTTTCAACATATTCTAAGTATGTAGAGTGGTGATTGAGGATGTTTTTTATTTCATGCCTACGTTTCTTGAATTGTCTCGTTTATGAATGAATATATTGCTATTTATTTGTTACCAATCTGATAGCTGCTTTCTTGTGTTTGAAGACTTGGCTCAGAAAAAGTAGTCAACCTGATGAGAACAAGACGACTAAGGAAGGTAAACTCTCTTTTCCACATTAGTCAGAATGATGCAATACATTTTCATTTATTTCTTAACAAGAAAAGTTTTAGTGTCATCTGCAGACTCCCTCCCGGCTCACATTCCGTATCTCCTCATTGGAGGCGGCACAGCGAGCTTTTCGGCCATTAGAGCAATAAGAGCTAATGATCCTGACTCTAAGGTTAGTAGAATACCGGCGTCGAAGGTACTTTTCCATGTTGTGCTCTTGATTTTTAGATACTTCTGATCGGCGAAGAACCCCTGCCACCTTACATGAGGCCACCACTTTCTAAGGAGCTGTGGTACGGTCAGGACGATGAGCTTTTGAAGGACTTTCGCTTCAAGCAGTGGAGTGGTAAAGAGAGAAGGTAGGAACGCAGTGACTTCTAGACGAAACTTATTGCCGAGTAACTGTTGTTTGTTTTGGTATTTTTTTCGAGCACAAAGAATTTTACTCGAAGCCGATGGAACTTGACCATATGCAACACGGAGGCGTAGCAGCACTGCTTGGGCATCGAGTTGTAAAGCTGGACGTTGTGGCTCACGAGGCCGTGCTGGACAACGGTGCGAAAATCACCTATGGCAAATGCTTGATCGCTACAGGTAGAAGGCGCATGAAAATCAATCGAGAAAATGTTGCTTTGTACTTTAAGGTTCGAAACCCAATATTCCTAAGGCTTTCAAAAGTTTGGATCCACGAATACGGTCGAAGATCACTCTTTTTCGTAACGTAAGCTACTAGTACTTCAATCACAGATGATCCGTATTTCCAAAGTGTTGACCTTGTTATCGCATTGTCGTAGCACTAAGTAAAGTGCACACTCATGTCACTCCACAGTGAAGTATCATAACGGATTGTTTTCCTTTTCCTTGTTATAGTAATCACAACTTTACTTTTGTGATAAAACCTGAAACGGCCGCCTAACATTCAAGGGTAAAATAAAGACGAAATTTAGTAAGTGCTAAGATATCGGCATCTGTTGTATCCGCGTGACGGGCGGTTGCTCTCTCCAAGACCAGTTGTTTCTATGTATTGCGCTCCTCCGCGATATAAATTCACCTCTACCTCCCATCACGTATCTGGCAGTAGTGATTTAACAATTTGCTTGTTTCGCAAAAGAATATAGGGACTATTGATTCCTGAATGTTTGTTGATGATGAACATGATCCTGCTTAAAAAATAAAATCATGTGAAATGCATTTAGAACTGCACGCTGAAATTTCATGGGCACGTGGCCTCCTTAAACTTGCCAACGGTGGCTTAGTGGGAGGGGCGTTACACTACGCAATAAATTCCAGTTTGAAAGCAGTTAGGCATGTATTAGCATATTTAGAACCATGAAAGACTCAAAGTGTAGTGACTAGGCATCTCTGGAAAATCGTCTGAGACATTCTTACAACCGAACGTTGAGCAGTCCTTCGCCATCTAAAGCAGATACCATGCCGTATTAGGGAGACAAGAAGTTTTGCTTACACACCTGTTGACCAGAGCGGGCGTATTTGATGGTCCGTTTATATTGCTTCTAAAGGAAAGTGCTATCCTGGGGTTACTATGAACGTATTTCTTACGTAAGTGTTTGCGTAGCCATCAGTCAGAAGATGGAGTTACGCATTGTTCACGTTCTATATCACACATATTGCATTTTAAGCTGAGGGCTATGCTCATTTACTGCTGTATTGTAGGAAACATTATTATCTGTTTGCATTATGTTAATAAATTTTATTATTGTGTAATCGAAACATTAGGGATAAAAAATTAAGGGAATTTTAACATTAACCTAATCCTTCAACTCAAAGCAATCTAATCGTAATAATACCGGTATTAAAACTGCATGAAACAGAATCAAAGTAGATTTTCGGAGTCTACTATGAATAGGCACACCTCTTACCCGTTTTCAAGGTAATCAGCACAAATAAAGTGTGGCCACTATTTTACTTGTGGAATGGTTAGTTGATTAAAGCGAGAGATTCGCCAACTGTTTCCGCGCGTCGGTATTCCAGCGTTCTTTATAGGTAACTTCGCGATCGGCAAGAAACCGTCTCAGCCATCGAAGCTGATTCGCTAACGGTGCATGATTAGGAAATAAGCATCTACGCCAAACATCTGATTGACCCATTGACCACAGTCAGAAAGGAACCCTCAGATCCTTGTAAGGTTATTCGCTCCCTGAGAGTGACAAGCGTATAAATGCAGTCATCTCTGCGTACTGATATATTTGATGATGAAGTGTGTAGCTACTGAAATAAACCATTTCGTTATGAAACCACAGTCGAGTGTCACAAAAGAATTTCATGAAACTTTTTTCCCGAACATATCAGGACCATGGCCCTGAAACAGCGCGTCTGATTTTCTAACGTCACGAACCTTCTCGACAAAAGGACCTTAACAGGTGTTAAGAGCGCTGATAACCTTGTTCGCGCTTGGTTGGTTAGCCACTTTTTCGGAATACATTGTAAATGTTCAGACTAACTATAAAACACTTAATTGGTTTTTGCCCTGCCTTTCCATTCCGTTCTTGCTCGTTACAGCTTTCTGCATAGTGGAACTTTGAGCTTCGAGTTGTGGGGAGGTTGCAGATTTATACCAAGCAACTGCACTTTTTGCAGCGAACAATCATTATGATATGCTGAGAAATGCCGAGTGTTTCCTTAAATAGAATGTAAGGAGGGCGGCCTACGACAGGTTCAACTCCGCAAGTTCATATCAACTAAAATTGAAACTTTTAAGCGCTCACTAATATTTGCCCTAATTTGGACCCTCAAGAATCGCGACAAGTTTCGAAGCCCGTTTTAGTCCAACTAGCCATGCATGGACCTGTTGTACGTCTTCGTTTTAGTTTGTCTTGCTTTGTAATTCACATTTTGTAAAATTGCTGAAAGGTCGATAGTTCGTAGATTAATTAGAATTTATGCTATGATCCCGTAATTGTGTAGCTTGGCTTGTTTTTGAAGGTGTTGATAATGATGATTACGGGAGCATTAGAAGATTTTGTACATCGTTGATAGCCTGGTATTCAAGATTGTAAACTATGTATATAATCTTTGGCTTACACTGAAGAGCACTAATGTACAGACTTGCTGCGATTGCCTCAGATCTTGCTCAATTATTTATGGTTCCATTATGAACCTTTCTTTTTTCTGCGTAGAACTTTTTCTCAATTAGTAAGAAAATCTCGTTTCTTCATTAGTAAAAAGTCGTCTGCAACTATTTTTCTTCATCGCTATTGTTATATGGATGAAAATTTTAAGTTTTTAGGCAGAGGATTTTCAAAGGTTAGAAGACATTAGCAGAAAGGGTGGTTGCATAGCGATCGTCGGTGGCGGGTTTCTTGGCTCTGAACTTGCTTGCGCATTGGGCCGGAGAACCGATGAAAAGAAAGACGGCGCCCTGAAGGTGGTGCAGATTTTCCCGCAAGCCGGAAATATGGGCGACATTCTTCCGGAATACCTTTGCAAGTGGTTGACGAAAAAGGTGTCAAAAGGCAAGGCGATTAAACTTTACTACGTGTTACTGTGAAAACAGACGGTTTCGATTTTTTTAGAGGGCGTAAAAGTCATACCGAATACGGACGTCGTTTCAGTGGAGCAGCATCGAAAGCAACTGCAGCTGACACTGAGTACCAGTGAAAAGGCATTGCGATTATTTTGCTCTGTTTTTTTCTCGGATATGTTTAGCGAGAACCTGAGAAGTAACATTCTTGCCTTGCAATCCAGCCAACAGATTTTACTTAGCTGTCGGAGGACTCGAACTACTGGTGAAACCTCGCAATACAGCTGTTCCCCCCTATACTGGGAAAAAATGGCGTATTGCGAATTGAGGGTTGAACTTGACTTTCTTCTTTTTCGCCCTTTTTCTGTGACTACACAACAAGTGGCAACAAATTACCTAGCTGGACCATTGATGTCGTTCACTGTGCTTTCTGACCATATTTGAAATCCTTCAAATCTTGTTTTCAGCTCAATGTGGACCACGTCGTTCTATGCGTAGGCGTAGAGCCGGACTTGTCTTTGGCGAAACCATCGAAGCTAGAGGTCGACCCGCGAAATGGCGGACTTCTGTGCGACGCAGAGCTGCGTGTCAGAAATGACGTCTGGACCGTAAGTGCCCACCTGTTTTGCATTTTCCGTTCTTTTTGTTGATGATGGTACTTGTTTTTCACTGTAAATTCGTTCTTGACATCCACGTCGTAGATAAGCGACAATGACCAAAGTGCAGGATTATGCATTGGTTGAAAAGCAGCAAATTTTATTTTCCCAATATCAGTTAATGTATTCTTGGACTCTGCTCGTTAGCAT